GCGTTGCCCGTTTGTCACCATCTAAGTCATCTCCTCATGGGCCATCACAACTCCTCGGCGAAGCGGCTTGCAAGAGAAATCGGCAACTTCGCTCTCGTGGTGCCAAGTCCATGGAGGCGAAGTGCTGCTTGCAGTGTCGTCAAAGCTATATATATCCCAGGGAGGACGATCATCTACAGATCTACGAGCATTCAGCCAACCACGGCGGACGTATGACACATTTGGACAGGGGATTCGGCCTGATGAGACACATCTGGCCGGTTGGCTTCCGACAACCTTATGGCTACTTCAAATATGTGTATCAAGGGCAGAAGAGTGCAGGGAGCACCACCATTGCGGGATATGTTCCGCTGTATCGACTCAGGCACCTATTCAGGGCATTTGGCGCATCACGGGGCATGGGGCTGTTTCTACCACTCTTCACATTGCATCCATGGCATCGGGCAGCTGATTACTGCAGCCATCAAATGCTAACGGCGATTACCTAGGTTCTTCCTGATTTCGAGAGCGTTCCAACTGTTTTACCACACTCCTTTAGGATTTTCGGTAGAACATACGATCGGTCGACGATATCATCTTTCGACTTTATCTTACAGAAAGTCGTTATCCGTCCCATCATCGCATCTGTCCGCTTCTCGAACGCAGCGTGACGGCATCCTGAGAACATCTCACCTTCCCTTTTCTATCTTCGGAGTCTCCAGTTCGACTGTATTCATATCGGTCTCCCTGCTCGATCTTCACCTTTCGATTCGAACGTTTCATCGCCATTTCGATTCTACCTAGGTTGGTACTTAACCCCGGTTGATGCTGCCCTCTCGGTGGCCAGTTGCTAACTGATGGCTTTCCTGCATAGTTCTTGAGCATATCACTTGCCAAAGAACAAATTCCGATAGCCTGTACAATAATCAGACTTCGAAGCAGAGTACAATCTCGTTTCTAGAAGCATTTCGCAACTTAGTACGTATAAAGCCCCTTCTCCGTCAGTTTCCTATGGGTCAAGGAGGATCGCACAAGCCGTGTGCTTCGTTTTCTGTGGCTTGTTGAGAAGTCTTGATAAGCCAGCTTCTCTAAGCCAAGTGGCTTAGCTCGAGGATAAGAGGATTGAGGCCAAACCGGTCGTCCAGTCTGTTCTTGTTGATTACGATGCCTTGGGTTGAACATTTTCCTCTCCAAGCTGTGGTGTCGTCACCAAATTACCAACACTCGGGTGGCTCCTGCCTGCTGAGGGCAGTTTCCTGTTTTTATCGCACCCTATCCTTTGCATACAAGTAAAGCCTCGAAAAGATATTTCAGCTGCTTCATCACACATATCATTTCACATCTTCAACATCTTTTGAGCCCAGAGATGGAACTATTTTTCTCGGACCCGGAAGAAGCCTCTCAGCGAACCCCGCGTCCATTGCATCTGCTAAACTCACCATTACCCGGCACAAGCACTAACCAAGTTTCTGGCTCTAGTCCAATGTCTTACCAGAACGGAACCCCCCCTGCCACCGACATGTCGGTTGTGCCGCCTCCCGCTGGTCCTACTCAGGATCAGGCCAAGACCACCCTTTGGTAAGAGTCTTCACAATACGCGAGGCGTCGCTCAGGGTTAACACGAGGGTTAGGATGGGCGAGCTCGAGCCTTGGATGGACGAGAACTTCATCAAGGGCGTCTTCCTCTCTGCCGCTGGAGAGACTGTCAACGTCAAGGTGATCCGTGACAAGAACTCTGGGTGAGTGTGTTCCAACATCAACTTGCAGTGGAGACGATGTATTTGTGGAAGAATTACAACATCTTCTGCTTCGCTCATGCAAGGACGACCAGCTGACTCTGCTCCCCTTCTTCAGCAACGCCGGCTACTGCTTCGTCGAGTTCGCTACTCCCGACGCTGCCACCAAGGCCCTCGGCCTTAACGGAACGCCTGTGCCCAACAGCTCCCGCCAATTTAAGCTTAACTGGGCTTCTGGCGGCGGCTTGGTCGATCGACGGTATGTGTGACACTTTTGGCGTTTAAAGTTCAGCCTTGTTCAGCCTCGGCCTCTCCTCCGTTTTTTTCTCGCTTCATTCCGCATCGGTACCTTGCGTGTACCCGTGCAGCACCTCTCACTGCTGCCGTCATCTCTCTTGTACCTTCCCGGTACTTGCCCAGGCTGCAGCAGTGACACTCGCGCCTCGGATTTACTTTCTTCACCTTCAGCCACTCCATTGCCTCCTCCTCCTTCTGCCTTGTCCTGTCACCTCTTCTCTCTCTCCAGTTCCTTTCGCTTTATCCTTCCGACCGTTCTCTCCCGTCACCACGCAGTTGCCTCTTTCCTTCTTTCTGCTTCTTGAAGAATTTAGCCGCCAGCGCCTGCTTCGTACTTGGTTTCTAATGTCTGCCACCGATAGAGACGATCGCGGCCCCGAGTACAGCATCTTCGTCGGCGACCTTGGCCCCGAGGTCAACGAGTATGTCCTGGTCTCGCTCTTCCAGGCTCGCTTCCCCTCGTGCAAGTCGGCCAAGATCATGACGGATGCCATGTCCGGCCAGAGCCGCGGCTACGGCTTTGTGCGCTTCTCCGACGAGAACGACCAGCAGCGCGCCCTGGTTGAGATGCAAGGAGTTTACTGCGGCAATCGTCCTATGAGGATCTCGACTGCCACTCCCAAGAATCGGTAAGTAGCGCCCCTCGAGACCTTTTTGTGTCACCTCAGCCTGCCCTCTCCCTTCACTTGACAACTCTCCCATCCTCACATACACGCTCTCCTCCGCGATCCTCCCATCTGCTCTTCCTACTCAGCCGAAACGACTTGACCTGCCTCTGACATGACTATTCTCTATTACAGTGGAAACCACGGCTTCGGTCACGGACACCAGGGCGGCCCCATGATGGGTGGTGGCATGCCTCAGCAGCAAATGTGGGGAGGAGTCCAGGCGTTCCCCTACGGCGGTGGCGGCGGTGCTGCTGCTGGTGGTAACTTCAACCCTGCCACCCAGATGAACCAGTTCACCGATCCCAACAACACCACCGTTTTCGTGGGCGGCCTCTCTGGATATGTGACAGAGGACGAGCTCCGATCTTTCTTCCAGGGATTCGGCGAGATCACCTACGTCAAGATCCCTCCCGGAAAGGGCTGCGGCTTCGTCCAGTTTGTCCACCGCCACGCCGCCGAGATGGCCATCAACCAGATGCAGGGCTACCCCATTGGCAACTCCAGGGTCCGTCTCAGCTGGGGCAGGTCTCAGAACAACTCGGGCGTCGGAACTCCTTACCGCCCTGCTCCTCCTCCGCCTCACTACATGGGCATGCCTGGTCCTGCCCACGGCCCCGGCCCCAACCCATACGGCGGCCCTCACCACTTTGGCGGTCCCGCCCCGGGTCCCCAGGGTCCTTCAGGACCTCCTGGCCCCGCTGTCCCCCCTCAGGTAGGAAATGACCATTGATACTCCCCAAGCAAGCCGAGACAGACGGCAAGTAGACGACGGAGAGGCTGACCGGTGCTTTTACCTAGTAAAGTTTGAAGAGACATCTGGCCATTATTAAGGCGGCTGGTCTCTGACCAGCCTCTGGGAACTAGACAAGGTTTTGTCGACTCTCATTTGATGCTCTCCTTTCTTATTATACACAGCCAATTGATGGGCTGACCTGGGGCAACATTGGGGCGTTGGACTGATTTGCGTCGTTCGGGCACGTCGTCTTTTGTCATTTTTTCTCACGCTGAAATTACTGCTCTTCCGCTTTGACACGACACTATGCACCCCCCAATTTTCTTGAGTCTCAAAATCACGACCGGCGTTGGAGATTTCAGTTCTCTGGGGAACTGTCACCAGTCAAATTTGATTACGTGCTTGATTTTATGATTCCCCTGAGCAGAATACTGGATGCCGTGCTTTTGCGTGTGATTTGTTGTTTTGTGACTGTATATCAATAATACTGTAACTTCCTTGTACCTTCTCGTCATTCCCTCCCTGCCCTCTCCTCGCTTTGCTTACTTGCCTTATATATCACCCTCCTATAGAGACTTTTTTTTTTGCTTTCTGATTTTAACTTGTTCCTGCTTTTCCTACTCTGGAGATGTTCCACTGAGTCTGTTTACCCTGTCTTCGCAGTCCTGTAACTGTCGCTTGTGGAATTTCCCTTCAGCAACTGATCTACTTCTTTATGCATCGTCGGCCCAGAAGAGTAATAAATGCCCCACGCTGATAAAAGCTTCTTTGATTTTTCATAGTTGGTAATTGGCTTCCTGTGTGCTTCAGCCACTCGTTTTTGTCTTGATTATTGAAAACTTCCCTTTGCCCAGAGGCACAGTCTCTTCGAGAAGTCTAGTCTCAAGTGCTTTGAGCAAGTAGCAGTCGTTTGACTTGTCTTGAGCGAGCTGGATTGTACCTATACATTATAACTATTTAGTAAGAATGTTTGTCTTCTGGAGTCCTCTGATGGGGTCTCTGAGCATATCATGTATTGTTAATAAGAGATTTATCTCGTTTGAGCTTGAGAATTTTCCTAGGAAGTGGCTGGAATGGGCTTTTGCTTGTGCTTGTGCTTGGAGCTGCTGGCTTGTGTTTGTCTGTTATGTAGCAGATGATTCAAGTGGCGAACTGCGTTGGACTATGTGACTGTTTCTACCTATACTTGACAAATTGGAGACTAGCTCCCGATAATAGAGAATTGGCATGCTGGATTTGGTATCATTGCCCGATTTGAGAGGTGCTCTGTTGCTGTGACGGGCGTTACGTTGACTATGCTTGCCGCTCTATGGGTAGCCATACTGCGTATCTGGATGCTGGCGACAGGGGGCCGGTTGGGAGGAGGGGCGGGAATAATGCTTGTTCGGCGAGGAGTCATCGGTTGTCCCACTTAGGTTTGTTAATCCTTAGGACGATATCATACGTCCTTCAACAGATAAGTTCGTAGCTGTACTGATTAACTCTATACATACATATATATATATATATATATATCACGAACAGTATATGGCGACGGAATAGCTGAATGGAAAAACTCGACGTATCTTCTTCAAGTCTTCAGAAAGGAGCAAATAAACAAACCATGTCTTCCAAGTCAAACATCCGCGTCGAAACTGCTCGCGAAGAGGACATGCCACGATGCATGGAACTCGTCCTCGAGGCCTTTGGCCCCTTTCCCAACTTTGACATCATTGGGGGCCCAAACACCGAAGAGAATCGCAAGCTGAATGCGGAGCGCCATTTGCGTGGTTATAAAGAACACCTTGAGAAGTATCCATCCGTGTCCCCGGGGATCAAATGTGTGCACACGGATCCAGAGACGGGAGAAGACAAGATTATCGGGTTTGCGGAGTGGTTCGTTTATGACAGGGAGAGGACGGAGGAGGAGTACATGGTTGAGAATTACATTCTGCGGATGGAGTGGATCGAGGACGAGGCGAAGCGGAAGGCGTGTCTGGATGGGATGGAGCCGGAGTTTGCGCTGCGGCGGAAGATCATGGGGGGTAGGCCTTTTGCGTTGCTTTGTTATATGTGCGTCGATCCGGCGTATAGGAGGCGGGGGGCGGCGACGGCGTGTGTGAGGTGGGGGATGGAGAGGTGTGCTGAGTTGGGGATTCCGGGGTACCTTGAGGCGAGCGAGGAGGGGATGAGGACGTACAAGACGCTGGGGTGGGAGGTGTATGAGGGGGATGGGGAGGGGGAGAAGATGACGTTTCCGCCGATGATTTGGTGGCCTGATGGTGTTGAGAGGTGGTGATGCTTGGGAGGGGTTTGTGAGATTGTGGAGGGTGTTGGGTATGGTATATTGGATATTCTTTCGGCTCGGATCGGTACATTGATTGTGGTACGGTAGGGTCGATCGTTTCGGCGGAGGTGGAAGACTTCGGGTTCCGGATGAACGGTCTATTGATGAGGGCGATTAGCGAGTGGCATGTATAAAAGAGGAAAGTAGATTGGAGAGGGATCGAACCAGGAAAGGGGTTTGAGCAGAGATAACTGATGATGTAAAAGAGTTTGTATACGGTATGATATTATATATTCGTTCGTTCGGTGACCGATGTGGTCGAGCTTATATCAAGATATGAATCTTGTGCGGTGGATCGATCGGTTTAGAGGAGAGTCGGATACCTCAGTCTTGCGTTTTCTGGAAGATTGGTGGCCGCCTATACAGAGGAATCGTAATATTAGGATGTAGTGACATCGAAAATAGCTTGAGGAAACTGACCAAGGGTATGGAAAGCTTCACACATGGCACGCTATTATATATTCGTTCGGCTCGGGATTGGTCTGAGAGAGGTTGAGTCGGCATATGCATTCTGTAAAGGAGTATCGCTCGCTTCGGTGGGGGTCGGAGATTTCGTCTTCGTTTGCTACGACTCGTTGAGAATCATAAGAGACGTTTCTGAAAGAGACAACTATTAGCAATGATCTCTATAGAAAGGGGTAAGTGAGTTTGTCACAACAGAGTATTGATTCCCATTTCTCAGCAGAAGAGACTCTGGGGTCAATCCTGAAAGCGAGAACCAGTCATGGCTTCACTATTGCTGTTTTGGTTCTTCTTCTTTTACTTCTGCTATGTGGTAATTGTCTTGTAGTCTTGTCTTGTAGTTGTCTCTTTGGCTTTGCTCAATTGTGTTTGATGGTTGGTCGAATTCGCTGGCAAGACCAATGCGTCTCGTTCTGGTGCTGGGCATCCGGCTACTTTGCATGAGCTGATCTCGAGAGCAAAGCTAAGGTTATTTGGGAGCTTCTTGTAAAGATAAAATATTGCTGGGCCGGTCCTGTTAGGGTAGACTCGTCAGCACCTCTGCCATCAAAATTCCACAGAAAAGCTTTAAGGGTTAGTTCAACAAGCCAAGGTTAAGTTTATAATCCTGATGTCAGACAGTAAGTCCCCCTGGTTTTCTTTTTTTTTTTTTTCCCATAGATACCTCTTCCTAACAGAAAGAGGTCAAATCGTAGACTGGGAAGTAGGCGGAGAGTCGTTGGAATAGTAGAACGTGAGCGCAAAGGACAGAGAGAAGATGGTGCTGGTAGTTTCGGAGGAGGTTTGACTGACAATGACAAAATTGACGGTCATGTCGCAACAAACTGTAACCCCTGAGTTATCAGATTCTTGTACGACCACAGCCAGAGGAGAAAGTATGAGAAACACAGCTTGGGAATCGAAATATTAGCGTGGCTGTTGGGTGTAGAGGGAGGATTGCTCTCGCTGTTTGAGGTTGCGTAAATACCCCATCAATAAATACTATGAGACGCAGTGTCTGCCTCCCTCGATGTGACAGCAATGGAACAAATTTGAGGCCAGGCTGTAGGTATTGCATACCGAGAGAGAAAGATTGCCGTGAACTAGGTCAAGAGGATGGGCGCCGAGAGCAAAAGGGCGCCCAAATCTTCCACGTTAGTGACAAGTATGTCAGTAGGTATTCCATTGCATGTTCTAAGCGCTTCTCAGCTCACATTTCTTCTGTAACGGCTCCTTTGAGTATATACGATTTGGACAGTGTCGGCATAATCTTGGACTGTCTCGTGCATGGACGTGAGACACAACTGAGCTCAGCACCACCGTTCTTCGTATTGGTTCTCGCTGTCGGTATGGGAGATTTGGGTTCGAAAAACTTCTTGGTCGCTATTTGCGGTATATATAAAGATGGAAAAAAATTAGTGTCTGCTAGGGACAAGAGTGCTGGAGAAGTCTAGATTCATCTTTCTGGGGGATACTCAACTGAGCTTCTTGTCATTATCCCTTCATAAATCAAAGCACAGAACAATACTGCCCGTAGAGAACAATACTTCTATGGGGAGCTAATCCTAATGTCAAGTGTTCAGATGCAAAGTAGAATCGTGCAGAGGTGGTCGTAGAGAGGGAAAAAAAGAGGCCGGTGAGCAAGACTGGTCGATGTGGTCTCCGAAGCAAGTCGTCTTCCGAGAGGATTTGTCTGCCTCTATATCCAACCGACGAGATCTCCAAGATGTGAGCAAATGTAAGAAAATATTCAAGTCGCTCAGCTCTCAAAAGCACTGCGGAAGATTTCTGTTCAGAGGGCTTTGTTGGAGTGGAGAAGAGCAAGAGGGCGGGTCAACCCAGACCTTTGCGCTTCGCTCTCGGAGCTTAGAAGCATGGATATCGCTATGTTTGCGTTAGTATGGTAGATTTACAGCTCATTATGTTGGGGCAGAAGAGGAATTAAATGCCAAGGGATCCGGTGTTTGCAAGATGGCCAGTTTCTATCTAAATTACTAAAGCACGTAGCCGCCCGACAGGAAACGGGGACTGTTCAGGCCACAATTTTGGCATCAGTACAGTCTCTCACTGTATAGATATTGCTCTGTTTTATTCATGATAATCATCGCAAAATTTGTGTGACGTTATAGACATGATTACTCGAATCTCTTTCCGACGCAGTTCTAAGAAGCTTTACCCCTTTTTATCGCAAGATTTTGTACGGCTCGGTCAGCGAGGCCCCGTGTCTTCAGATTCTGATATGCCTGAATTCTTCCACCTCTTAATCTTTCTTTTGTATTTTCTTCCAATTCAATGGCCCTTTTGCCACCTTTTGGCTAGCTGAAACCCGATATTGTAACCCTTGACTTTCAGCATCGTAACCCTGATATGGAAGGCTTTCGGCTCGTAGGGCGTTCGATCGAAGACGTTCGTTTGACGACTACTGTATGATTGTGGATAGAACTTCATACGCATGAATGTGAATTCTTTCGCCGTTCATGCTGTCGGTCTCGCTTTCGGTGCTAAAACTCTCTCGTAACCCTGTCGGCCGAATCTGCCAGCATCAGCCTTCCGCCACGACCCAGTTTGTAATCCGAGAGAGTTCCACAGGAAAGCTTACTGAAGACAAAGTTTTCTAAATATCTTAAGACTGATATGCTCGTCTTTCTGGAGGCCGTTGCTCGAGGCATTCGTTGTGTTCGTCTTTCGAGGACTGGATTTCGTTTGTTCGAGCCCACCGTAGAAAGGACGGGTAGCGACCGACCGGCCAACAATAATCTGTGAGTTCGAGAATTCCAGTCATTGAAGGCAAAAGTAGAAGACATCAAATTCAATGACTTTTGCTCTGAATAGTGATCCGCTTCCCGCATCCCGTGATCTCCTAGTGACAACTGCTCGATGTCGTAGTTTGTATGGCCGATTGGCATCACTATGGACGGAGAGCAAAGTAGGATTTGAATAGATTTTCTTATCTTACCTCCCCATAACGCAGTCCAAAGGCTAAAAACATGCCTTTGACTCGTTCTAGCATCTGAAATGAAGACAAGCGGTATCTACGCGATGAATTCAGCTCAGGAGCTGATTATTTCTTGAACAAGAACGCCCCTGACGAGGCAAAGGGGAGATGATCAATACGAGAGTAGGAAAATATGCATTTCCACGAAAAGAAAGGACAAATGTTATACGATTCAGCTACTCAACCAAGATCCCATACTACCAGAGCTCGCCTTTCATCCCCCCAGCTCTCTTCTCCCCCTCCCCTCCCAGCAGCTCAAGCAAGAGCCAGGCCACACCGAAACGCAGAGCAATTCGGCTGGCCAATGAGAAAATCGACACACAGCTGGCCAATAATAAAATCGACACAGCTGGCAGATTTTTGCGAGCACGGATTTTCAAAATCAGGTGTCCCGATTTTTTCTATTGGTCAAGGCATGGCCCAATTTTGAGGTACGTACCTTGGTTGAAGAGGCGGTGGTTGCAGAGTATGGGCTGGTAGAATTTGGGGGCATGGGAGACGCTGGGGATGTGGTGATGGGTCGGTTGGAGGATGTCGCTGTGATACCAGGACGTTATGCAGAGGGACAAGTACTCGTTTGCCTGAAGATAGCTTCCAGTAGATCATATATAGATAAAGACCGTCTGCCAGTCATAAGAAAAGCTTCTTGTGCCTGCTGTCGTGAAGAAATGTGAGCGATCCACAAGTTTCCTACGCCCCTGGTCTGTGGCCTCAGAGCGACTTGGCGCTCTTTACGAAGGTATATTGAGATACAACAGTTTTCTTTGACTATGAAGCAATCTGATATGTCTGAAGGGAGCTAAGACTTTGTATTTGATCTCTGTGACATAGTGTTCGGGAGTATCCCTCTTCCCCTTCTCTTTGAGACGGGCATCAAGGCGCTCACCAGCGAGCGTTCCAAGTTCAAGGACATAGAGCTGTGAATGTATCGTTTGCATTGGAAAAATGTACTACTGGTATGACTCGGCGAATTTCCCTAAGCAAGAGAGCTCTTCCCAGACGTCTTAAACGTACGCCGTCCGGCCTCTTGTTCTATCTTTCTATCACCAAGCTGTCCCAACAGGATCTTTCGTACAACCTTTTGTTACTATGTCTTCAAGTCTCATGATCGTCGAGGTATTGGAGTCTTGGCAGCAGAAATCGATCATTCAAGGCACATCATAGGTCTTTGTCGGGCGTCTGGATGGTGTCATGTTCTCGTGTGCAACGATCGGCAGCATCTTGGGGCAATCGAGTCCTGCATAATTCTCTGAATATGATCAGTGTAGGTAGTACTAGATATCAATTTGGGAGTTTACTATCTCCAAAGAAGATGAAGATGCTGGTAATTCCCTGCGTCTCGGACTTTTCCTGTCGGCACAATGCAAAGAAGAAGGGTCCCTGAATTGATCCCAGCATTTCGCCCGTCCCAACGAAAATTGTATGATAGGGGGCCATAGTGATAAGATAAGATTTGCTGGACCATAGGAGTCAAGGGGTGAACCTTATGACAGAGCTGTTCGATTCGGGCGTCGAG